ATGTAAACTGAGAGCTTATGCACCAGAGACAAATCCCTTGAGTGTCCGATCACACTTGGCCAATAAAGAATATTCTGTTCTATTCTATTCTACCCTATCCTCTCCTATCCTATCCTAATGCATATGTTTTCAGTATAATGATTTATATTGGAATACATGATCCAAGGGCAAAGTGATTATTATAAGAACATTAAGAATTAGCCCATTCTGTATCTTGGTTTCTTCTCATTTACCAGGGAACAGAAATTGAACCTGGACTGTAAGCAACAAATTGAAGAAATCACAGCCAAGATTCAGATGGAAAAGCTGAAGCAGAGGGAGCAGAGGTTGGTTCCTTGCAATTTTGCTATAAACGTATGTGTGCTAACATTTTCTGATTTCATTTAATTCATGTATTATCAAAAAAGTTATTGCATTTACATTTATTGGATCACATTTCAGACTGCCTTCATTCCCTTAGGAAATCATTTTCTGTAAAGAATAAAGCTGCGTTAACTGAAAAAATGAATAATACAGTAATGCAACTTAAGAAATACCTGATTTTGTCACAACAATCAGATCATTCAATAAAATTGTTTGCAAATAAGTTTAATAATAACAAAACTATTTGTAGCCATTTATTTTTTAATTATTACCAGAATTGTGTGGTAAGAAGACTTACTGTACAATTACGGTAATAGGCATGGCCACACCAAGCACCCACTCCATAGCAATGCCCTTTAAGACTGGCACCTGCTTCATGTTTTCTAACATATATAGGTAAAGTGGCTCAGTACCGCCAAAGTTGAGGCCCAGAATCTGCATTTGAGACAATGCCTTCTCTTGACCATCCCTGCAAGAAAGTCCACTCAAGTGCTTGATGTGCTAGATTCTGTTGCAGTTGACATTCCCTAGAAATGCTGTAAGGAGTTGAATTTATTTGCAATGTAATAGTTTATTCTGTCTTGTTCCTGCTTTGGGTTTATTTATTTATTTTTCTACTTTCAGATTCGCATTTGAGCAGTTACTTGATGAGTTGATGGAGAAGCACAAGAATCTCTGGGAACTTTATGTAAGAGCTTGTTCTCCCCCCCATCCGCCCTGTAGCATCAATTACAGTATATTCTACAGTACTCATTAATATTGTAATAAATGTAGGCAGCAACACTGTGAGTTAAAGATCCTGAATTCCAATTGCCTTTGGGAATACTAACATCAAAATATCTAAAAAAAAAATTGGCTTTGTCCACAAAGTGATATATTCACAGTGTGAAATGCTGAGGTCTGAAAGTGCAATAGAAAGAGTGGATATTACTGGATACAGGCATGGGAAAATCCTCCCAGGAGAAACAGCTACTGCACTGGAGAAATACTGTCAAGGGTCTGCGGGGATATTAGGAACAGGGAGGTACATATTATTTGCTCACAGACTGGCTGCTTGACTGCTAGATTCTTGGGTGTTCTAATGAGCCAAACTTGTGCTTTTCTCAGTTTACCTTCCTATTTTAACTCCTAGGAGCACAGCCATGTAAATGAGATTAAAATGAAATGCTAGGTGGAAAAGGGCTAGGCAACTGCCATGTTGAAAACAATAAAAAACCAATGATATATGGAGAGAACTTTCCCCACAATAATTGTTATGTCCAGGGCATCAGTAGCAAGACTTCCTGTTATGCACCAAGAAAACTGTTGTGTACTGTAGCTCTTATTTACCCAAAATGGCAAGAACAGGATGGTCTATACAATTTAGGATTACAGGTAGTCCTAGACGTACAACAATTTGTTTAGTAATGAAATTAATGCAGAAATTGGAATGGCATTGAAAAAAATGACTTAATGACTGTTTTCCAAACATAGAACCATTGCAGCATCCCCATGGTCACATAATCAAAATTTGGATGCGTGACAACTGGCATGTACTTAGGATGGTTACAGTGGCCCGGTGTCATGTGATCACCTTTTGCAACTTTCTGACAAGAAAAGTCAACGGGGAAGCCAGATTCACTTAATCATTGTGTTACTAATTTAACTACTGCAGTGATTCACTTAACAACTGTGGCAAGAAAGGTCATAAAATGGGACAAAAACCCATTTAGCAACATACATTCTGGGCTCAATTGTGGTTGTATGTCAAGGACTACTTGTAGATTTACATTACCCTATAGAAGATGACAGATTACATACCACCATGGCTCCTGTGCCAATGTATGATCACTACTGGACAGATGAGGGCATGTGGGTGTTGCTGAATGCTATACATGCATTATGCTATCTATAGAGTATGGCTAGTTCAAGCACTCTTGATAGGTTTTTCATTATTTGGTACACACTGGAATTGTCTTCTTGAATGGAATGGGCAATCCAAGCTAATATATGGGTTTTAATGTATTTGTGGTCCCCATGTCCCACTAAGACTGCTTTGCTTGAATTCAACAGTAGCTGAATTAGCAACATTTAGTGTTTAGTGGGAAAAAAATAGTACATACATTCACAATAGGATTAATCACCAATAATATGTTTTTTAAAACCTCAAGAGAAAAAGTTCCAAATGCAACCTTTCTTTCTAGTGATATCATATTGTTGTTATCCCTTTGCTGCTAACAGGTGCATATAATTAATGTAAAAATTATTCTTATTTGTATTATCTTTTACTGTGATATTTTTCTGATTAACTTTCTACCTTTCATACTCCTCCCACATATTAATATTTGCTTGATTTGTAAAACTGGAGGCTATTTATGTATTTAAATATACATTGGATTAAATATTTATTTAATAAATATATAATTAACTCTGCTCTCTTATCTCTCTGATTTTAATTGGGTAAATAGCATGAGCAGAAAGGTTGGCTTCTTTCTGATGCTCCAGCCTGTCTATTAGTTTTTGTTTTTGCTGATCACATTATATTGACATTTAAATTACTTTGTTTACATTTGGGAGATTAAATTTGGGAGATTATTTTTATTGATTTCCTTCCTCATATCTACAGCATGTTTTTTGTTATTATCTTGTTTCTTTTCATCATATCATTTTCCACTTTTCAGGCCAGGGAGAAACCAATGGCTGACATGAAAGTGAATAAGGAGCAGTTACTACTTGAAGGTGAGAAAGAAAATGCACTATTTGGGGCATTTAGGTAATTTAGATTACCCTATCTAAAATCATTCCAATTAATTTCTAATATACTTTGAAAGTACCTTCAGTTTTCAAGGCAGGTAAGAATTCTTAAATGTGATGTGTCATAAAGGATTTATATGTTGTAATATTCCATTAGAAAAATTAATCCAAGAGAAACTGGCTCATGTTCAAGATGAACTGGATTTGCTGAGTCAGGTT